TAAATATCCAAAGATTCCTGGATTTCCAAAGCCACCAGAGTAAGTAAGTGGAGAGTTGGATTCTTTCCTCGACCACATCAGTTTTCTTGATGAGACAAAGGTGCTGCCACCAGACTTTGAAAGAATATGTGAACTGCTGCAAACCATCCCACTGGACTGGTGCAATGTCCCACAGCCTTTGTGCTCTTGAACAGTGAAAAAAGATGTGCTCTGGTGTTTCTGGATAATCACCGCAAATTTGACATCTAGTGCAAACATTCAGCCCTCTCTCATGTAAGTTAACTGCTGCAGGTAATGTTCCAGAAAGGCACTTCCAGAGAAAATGTTTTATTTTCCCCACAGTTTTCAGCTTCCAGCACTTTGCAATAGCCTTTGATTGAGAATGATTCTGAGAGGAGGAGCTGGATTCTGGGATATCCAAGAGAAGAAGTTTCCTTGCTGCCAAAACCTTGTATGTACTGGCCACAGTAAATTTGCCCTTTGGTTCAGGATCCCATAGTGTTCTGTCGGCCCTTGCTGGATTGAGTGTTGTGATTTTGAGTATTGCTTCACTCTCAGATTCATTGAAGACTTGTTTGACCAGCCAAGAGTTCCATTGGCCATTTGAGAGTAGCAGATCCTTGACCCAAACAAGATGGTCCTTAGCAAAATCCAACAGAGATGGAGCAGGTCTTCCAAGGTTAGGGACCCAATTTGGATCTTCAATTCTGGTGGTGCTGCCATTCCTGATTTCAGTCTTCAAGCAGTTGGAAAATAGGGGCATCACAGCAAGCCAGCTGTTCCACAACCAAGAGGCTTTTTGAGTTTTCTGAGCTTTGAACAAAGATCCCTCTGGAAAATATCTGTCCTTCAAAATCTGACTGACAAGGAGCTCAGGGTTTGTGGCCACTCTCCAGAGTTGTTTACAGATTAGTGCTTCATTGAAGAGTTTAATATCATGAAATCCAAGTCCTCCATCTGTTTTAGGAATAGTCATCTTATCCCATTTTTTCCAGAATATGCCTGAGCTTGAATTATCACCTGATTTCCACCAAAACTGAGCACATAATCTAGAGATTTCATGACAGACAGAGATAGGCAACTTGAAACAGGACATAGTGAAAATAGGAAGGGCTTGGAGGACTGATTTGAGGAGAACTTCCTTACCAGCAGCAGAGAGGAGTTTAGATTTCCAGTTCATAAGTTTGTTCTTGATAGCTGTTAGCAAGTACTCAAATACTTCCTTCTTGGAGCGGCCTATACCCAAGGGGAGCCCTAGATACCTAGTAGACCTATGAGGAACAATGCCTTGAAGTTCCCTGCAGATGCTGTCCTTAAGGTGCTGAGGTGAGTTCTTGCTAAAAAATATAGCTGATTTTTCTAGGTTGACTCTTTGTCCTGTGAAAAGCCTATATTTCTCCAATATTGTCATTAGCTGTCTTGCTTGGTCCACACCAGCTTTGAGGAAGAACAGGGAGTCATCAGCAAAAAGGAGGTGAGAGAGAACAGGCCCATTCTTGGATAACTTCATACCATGGAGGGAGCCCTGAGCTTGTGAGTCTTGGACTAAGGCTGAGAGGAGTTCTGCAACAATTATGAACAAGTAGGGGGACAGTGGGTCCCCCTGTCTAATTCCCCTCGATGGAGTGATGTAGCCGCTCACATTCCCATTTACCTTGAAAGAGATGGTTGTAGAAGAAATGCAGACCATGATTAAGTTCACAAAATCAGGGTGGAAGCCCATTTTAATCATTATCCTTTGCACACTCCTCCATTCTACTCGGTCGAAGGCTTTCATTAGGTCAAGCTTGAGAGCCATGAAGAAGTTTCTGCCAGTTGAGTGCCTGTTGAGAAAATGGAAGGCTTCTTGGGCAATTATCACATTGTCTGTGAGCTGTCTCCCCTTGACAAAGGCTGATTGATGCAGACTGATACAGGAATCCAGACATAACATCAATCTCTGAGCCAGGATTTTAGAGAGTGTTTTGTAGATTACACTGCATAAACTGATAGGCCTGAACTGCCCCAAAGTGTCAGCATTTGCCCTTTTAGGAATGAGAGACAATATAGTGTGGTTCCAGTACCTTAGTAATCTGCCAGAGTGAAAAAAACTTGAGAATGCTTCCATGACATCAGCCTTGATGAGGGACCAAAACTTCTGGTAGAATAAAGGACTCATGCCATCTTCACCTGGAGATTTTTCAGGGCTAAGAGAGAATAATGCAGATTTCACCTCATCCTCAGTGACAGGCTTGAGGAGAGCTTGGTTCATATCTTCAGAGATTGTTTGAGGTATTAAGTGCAGAATAGACTCTCCATCCCAGTTGCATTCAGAGGTAAAGAGATTAGAGTAGAAATCTGAGATGTGCTCCTCTATATCAGCTTGTTCAGTTAGCATAGTGCCTCTAGGAGTGAGGAGTCTTGAGATTGCATTTAGCTTTCTTTTCTGTCTAGTGAATGCATGAAAAAACTTGGTATTCCCATCTCCATCCTTCAGCCACTTGAGTCTAGACTTCTGTAGCCAATGCTGTTCCTCAAATGAGTGAGCCTTGTTAAGAGCAGCCCTTGTCTGAGCCCATTGCTCCCAATAATCTGATGATTTGGCTTCCCTTAATTGTTCCAGCTTTTTTGTAAGAATATCAATGTTCTGCTGATTCTGAGTTTTTAGCTTAGCACTCCATATGAGAATTGCCATTCTTGTAAGTTTCACTTTTTCTTTGAGTTTGAAGAAAGGAGTGCCTTCAGTAGGAGTTGACCAGGCAGAATTGACTGTTTCTGTGAAGCCTTCCATCCCTAACCATCTTTTATCAAAGTGGAAACGAGCTTGTCTCCTCTGCTGTGGTTGCCCCATGCTTAGTAACAAGAGAGAGTGGTCAGATGAGCTTC